GCCTTAGAGGCATAGTCCGCTCCCCACGAATGAAGCCACAAGGCCCTTCTAGAAGCCACAGACAGGGCCATACTCTTGGCAATCATGCGGGTGATGTCTAGGGAGGCTTCTGAACAGAATTCCGTGGCCAGGCAAAAGTCTTTGAGGCTCTCCAAAAGATGTTCCCTACGGACACCCCGATCAATGTCCTCCTCCAAATGTGTGAGCCACACTCTTAAGGCCCGGGAGAGAGTGGACAGAGCCACTCCCGGGTGAAGGGCGGAGCCCAGGGCCAAGTAGGCTTTAATCAAATCACCATCCATACGCTTTTCCATAGGCTCTCTGAGATATGCAATGAAGTCAATAGGAAGCGTAGTTTTCTTTGCCATATGGACTACAGCAGCGTCAATCTTAGGAACTGAATCCCATAGGCAGCAGTCCACGGCAGAGAAAGGATAGATCCTCATGAATTTATTTTTCAAGGTGGATTTCCTTTCAGGCTTATTCCATTATGGAAGGATTATGTCCCTGATTGAGGAATGCACCGGGAAGGTAGGTCTATTCAGTTTTAGGTCCTCAAAGAACCTGTCAGCCTCTCTTAATACAGACTTTTTTTCCGTGAGACTAAGAGTGTCTATGAGAAGGGTAATAAGCCTATCAATAGACTTTGAGTCGAGAGACCTGGAGGTATATTCAACTTCCTCCTCACCATCATCTGAGACCTCCCATACATCAGGGTCTTCTCCAGAGCTGGAAGACTGAGGTTCCGCTCTGCGTCTTTTACTCGGACCACTAGACACAGTGGTAGACTTAAAGCCCTCAGCAATAGCTTGGGAAATCCAGAGCTTAAGGTCGTCTTGTGGGGAACCCCCACTGGGGGCATCTGCCGCTTCCAATAAGCATTCCCTGCAAAGGTTCCTCCCATGTGGAGCAGGCGACGAACAATTAATGCATTTGTTGGACTTTTCCCTTGATTTCTTGCTGGAGAATCCAGATGCTTGTTGGGGCTTAAATAAAGCCATAAATAAACATATATTACAGGCTCAGTTTGGCACTCTTTTAACAACCCCCCCCACAAAACAAATCAGTGGCTCACCTATGTTTTCTAGAGAGGGATCTTGCATAGGCACAGGGAGAATCCATACTACAAACGAGAATAAAAGGAAAAGTCAAAACACCATTCCCAATAAAAAGACCAGAGGCAAACTGACAAAAAAAGACACACAGAAGAACTAGTAATCATACCTATAATGACAGAAAAAACCTCCAGGCAGCCAAGAATAACAGCAAAGGAAGAACTGCAGAGCAACCAGGACTGAAAGTGCAGCAGAACAGCTGATGCAGTGCACAGGCAGAGTGCCTGTATCAATCAGTTTAAATAGAGCTGGGAACGTCGGTCCGCACATGCGCATGCCGCTGGAACGCACGCTGTGCGTTGCAAACGCATGCGGCCCGAAAATTACATCACTTCCGGTTTAACAGCCCGGCCGCGACGTCACTTCTGCCTGCTGGAACGCACACCGCGTTCCAGCCAACCACGCCGGCAATACCAGGAACCCACAGGCAACAAACCAGGGCACCTCTGCTGCAGCAGAGAGGGACTGACCCCCATGAATTCAAGACAGCAGTACAAGTAAGCAAAACAGGCTCCCCCACAGGAGGAACCCCATAGTATGGATTCCAAACCAATGCCGGGGGGGGGGATTTTTTAGACCCCAGTTGCTTGGGGCAAGACAACAGCAAGGGGAATTTTTAAGGAGGACCAACCCCATATTTACAGATTACCTGTAGCCGTGTTTCCCTCAAAACACCAAATCCCACGCAGCAGTTCAGCACTTACACTGAACCTGACCCATTCAGTCCTGCTCATGCAGGCTGTTTACTGGGTCCTTCAAATGAAGAGAGGCTGAACTTCATTTGGAACGAACTCACGACAAATGCAGGAAGGTGGCCAGAAAACAAAATGTAAAAAGTCCTGTAGAACTTGCTAAGGACAGGAAAAAAGACTGAGGTGTAAGGGGAGGAGGGACTCTTTATACCTATCAGTCTAATTAATTAATCTAATTAATTCCTGTCCTGTGACTGCTAAGGTAGGAGCTACCCATAAGTGATGCTGCCATGATTAGCCAGGAATATACACTTTTATTACCACCCTCTAGTTTCTTATGTTTTGAGTGCTGGAGAGCGGCTTCCCTGATGTTCAGTCTGCAGGTTGATGATGTTGGGAATTAGGGGCTGGCTCTTGCTTTCCTGCCTTCTCCAATGCCTTGGGTCTTTCTCCCCTTCCGCACGGCTTCGGTCTCTGGGAGGAAGTGACTCGCAGCTCTAATTTCTTCCCCGGCTGCCGATAAGCAAGGGGCCCGGTTTCCCTGTTAAAGGGCCACAGTGCTTGATCAGCCTCCTGCTGACACATGCCCACCATGCATTTCACTGAATCTTGCAAATCCCCTAGGAGAAAACATCATGCCATCTGTGAGGAAGCTGAAGCGTCATTGGACCTTCCAACAAGACACTTACCCAAGCATACCTCACATTCCACCAAGGCTTGGTTGCAGAAGAAGTCCTGGAATTTCTCCAGTGGCCACCACAGCCACTTGACTTGAACCCCATAGAAAATCTCTGGTGGGATTTGAAGAAAGCGGTTGCAGCATGCAACCCCCAAAATAATACTGAACTAGAGGCCATTTGCTCATGAGCAATAAACGAAGACCCCTCTTGAATGCTGCCAGATTCTGGTGTCTGGTTATGCATCTCGTTTGCAGCAGGTAATAACAGCAACAGGGAGCACTATGAAGTACTAAAGAGGTTTGCCATGGAGTGATTGAATAAATTTAAGACTGGAAGTGTCATTATAAGTTGCATTTTCAGTTGATTTGGGAAAACCACTTAAAACATTTGTTGTGTCAAGTTATTTCAATTGATTTGAACAGTGTAGTCTTGGACTGCCTGTGGAGATCAAAAGATCTCTCCCACCAGGCCAGTGGCCAGCTTTACAGTGTATGTGCTTTATTCATGCCAAAAACAGTCTCTTCAGGCTGTTTGTTCTAGGCAAGGAGGTCTTGTAATAAGGGACAGAACTCCTTCTATTCCAATCTACTATTACTACTACTATTCGGGTAGTGTTGTTGGAGGTTTTAGCTCTGGAGGGTTCTTCAGGCGGAGAAGGGATGAACAGTGTATCGACTTGGGTCTGGATCCCAAGCAAGGGATCTGAGTTTCTGAATGCCAGACTGCACAATTTAATGATTTTAGTAAAGTCCGCAGGGTCTCCAATCCATTTTGAGACTCGACAATATAATGTTTTTTAAGGGAGGAGGATGAGATAACTTCTTTAAAAAAAATAATATATATATATATTTTGTGCAGAGTAATACATGCAAGCTTGCAATGCCACAATAGCGATTGCAAGGTAGATATAAAAGCAGGTAGATGGCATACTGACAACAATGCACAATTTTATAATAAAACGTAGGAAGGCTAAGTAGTCATATCCAGATACTAAATGAGACTGTCGCTGTTGTCTACGGTAAGGATTTTAGATCGTATGAGTGAGGTACACCTAGTAATGTAGGTAAATCAATATTGGAAACCCAGTTAATCTCAATAAGTAAACAGAGTAATATAAATGTGTAAAGTGAGCATGCAATATCGACAATAATAGACTGTGAAGTGTTAAAGATAAAAAAGGCAAGTTGTGTGTGTGTAGCTATTAGTCATAGTTTAAGCAGGATAGCTAGAGTATATATACCGCTGGGTACTGGTGAAATAAACAGAAGATGTTAAAATTAAAATGAATTGAAACAACACTGTGCAATGTTAGTAACAAATGACAAGTAGCATCTCCAGCCGCTGTTCAGCCAACATCACATAAGGCTCGTGATAGAGAATTCTCTGTTTCAAGTGCTGAGCAGCCTCCCGCCACCTCTGGACACCACGGGGAACCATAGTTAATCTGTTGTCGAGTGAGTCCACACTTGTAGTGCTGTGACCGCACCAATCCCCAAGCCCAGGTTGAAATGGGAGTCACTTCCCTGTGTCCATGGGTCCTCCTGCTCAATGCTGTAAGACAGTGGGCCCTCGGGAGCTCCGAATCCCGGTAGCGCCTCCGGGTATGTGGACAATGGGTAGGACGTGCTTCCAATTGGACTTCCAGCCCAGAAGAGGAAGGGGCAATCCCAGCAAATGTGGGGATCTGAGTTTTGGCATAGGAGGTAGAATGGTGAGGTTGGCACCGGAGCCTTGGCACAGCAGCCATTTTGCATTCTATACTGAAACTCTGAGGTGAGTTGTCGCTTTGTTTAGTTTTAGCATGCTGCTTTTGGCGCTGGGTCAATTTTCTCCAGAAATTCTCAAAGATTGCGTCCAGCTTAGTGAAGAAGTCGGCTCGCCCACCAAGACAGGCAGTAGGGCTCACTGTGCCGTCCTCGGATTGAGAGTGTAATGCTATGGCTGTCTTCCCATGTACGTTCCATGGCTGCAGGGGATCATGCTGCGGTGTAGAGGTAAGTATCCATAGTGAGGACCAGGATAACCCCCACCGGTCCAAAAGATGTTTTTTGGTACACTGGTTTACTACTGATATAGGCTATAATACTCAGCACTGTAACTTGCCTGAAACTCAATTCTGCCAACATCAATGTTGTCTTCACTGCCGCCATGTTCCTCAGCCCTGCTACGTCACCTACCAAGAACACGTGCAGATGATTCCAAAGTCAATAAGATGCATGTTCCCATCTACCTTCACAACAGGTGGCTGATGGGAAACCGCAGCAATGTGCAGGCTCTACCCGCTGTCACATTTACATGAGAAAAACCTTGTCCTTACTTTGTCTCATGAACACCTTGAAAACAATATCAAATAAATTCCACTCCTTAAACTTTTTTTTTTTTATAAAGAAAGATTGTTAAGAGACAAAAAGTGGCAGTGCCACTCTGGCTTAATAATGTTTGCAACATAGGGTTCTTTTTGCTTAAAAAAAAAATAAATAAATAAAATTACATACAGTCTTAAATATTAAATCGTTTTAATAAATAACACAAATGTGCAGAACAGTCACATCGCTTTATTGAAATTTTTTAAATTCTTGTAATATTCAATATTTTAAATGTAAAGCCCCCCCCCCCCACCTATAAAATGCACCTGTACCCATGGAGAACTTTGCATTAATACTGCAACTAAAACAGCCTCTCTATTTTGGGGGAATGGAAAGAGTGTGTGTACCCGAGGAACGCTGAAAACTGGGTATATATAGTGTGACATGGTGCTTGGACGGCCAAGTGCCTGATAGTGGTTGTGATATAGAGGAGAAAGTGTTTCACATTGGAAATGTACACACTACTAACAGCAGCAGATGATTAAAATAGCATCACCAATAGGTGGGACAAAAGTTGGTCAAATAAGAAAGAACTTCATACTCTCTCCTACATCCACTATTGCTGCCGCTGTTTACCACACTTTGACAAATAGAACTAAAAAGGTTTCTGAATTGATGGCATTCTTTTCATCAGAAATACAAAAAAAAGAGTTACAAGGTTATTTATTAAACGGAAATTATTTACATTTCTGCTATATTGTCACAAATATGTGAAATTTTTAAAACCAAACTTGTGAACATCCCTGTCACTGCTTTGTTCTATGTCCATGTGAAGTCTGATTTTCCCAGCTCTATGCACAGCTACTGGATGACAGCTGAATTAGATTTTTGGTCTTTGTCTATATAATCTTAAAGGGACACTCCACTGTCCAAATAACAAATAAACTGTAGTCTACATACCACTAATGAAAACATGTATTAAAATGATGTATTTTTGTTGAGTGTATATCTAAAAAGAAAACAATATTGCAAAAGCTGCAGATCTCTTGTCTGCAGCCTTTGCAAGCCCCCCTCCCCTTCCCCACGACAGACTTCCCATTGCAACTCATCGAGAAGACTTTGCAAGGCAGGTGCTCTGAGCAATTGCTGCCTCTTGTATTTAGCTCCACCGAATTGTCTTATTGACAGCAGGGGGTGCAACAAGGTTGATTTATCTGCACTAGCTAAAGTGCATTAGACATTTGGAATGTTCTTTTAAAAATCTGTATCTTGTTTACATCTATACTATTTCTGAATGAGTAGTATTATATAGGTAAGGAAAGAATAGAACAAGTCCTAACTTTAAGCAATTTAAAAAAAAAAAAAAAAAAACATTTTATAGATATTTATAGTTATAATATAGAGACGGATCTTTTATTCTTTAATTATTAATGAGAACTTCTCTTAGTTAATAGGTCCACTTAAATTAATCTCCATGTTCTACTGTCTGCAATAACAGACACTGCAACATTTTACAGATAACAGACTGTTTTCCTGAACGCAACGGGATATCCACAGTATTCCGATTCACTTTAACATACCAAATTTGTGGATACATTAAAAAAAAAAAAAAAAAAAATTCTTAAAAATAAATAAATTGCTTCCAGTCCATTTGCAAAATATTATTAACAAACATCTCATTTGGGCACCAGAGGTAATTGCAGAGTCTACAGTAGCTTTTAAGTTCATTTGTTTTATTAAAAAAAAAAAGTTTCAGTTCAGAATTGGGAATGTATCTAGTCTACACAGCTCATGAGAACCAGAATACTCCTCTCCCTCTATCTGCTCTTTCTTCACCCACTTGTAGGGCAACACTTGACTACTGTCTAGATCTTGGGGATCTTTGTCAGAGGTGTTAGATGCCACACTCCACATGTTTACTATCATCTGCAACGTAGACGATCTGACCAGGTGTTCTGATCCCTCACACTGACAAAGCAGGTTAGAAAGCTCCTTAGTCAGACTGTTAATTTTATCCGCTCTTCCTTCTTGCATATGCAGTTCAGTGCCTGAGCTCTGTGCGTTTGGCAAGACTTTTTGTGCATATTTTTGCATGCTGGGTGATACCATGGTGTGGTCCACTGTTCTCTTCTCTGCATAAAGCATGCTCAGTATGTGCCGACATGGCAATTTATATATTTTGTTGAAGTAACAAGTACAAGACCGACCATCAGTTGAGATCTGATGTGATTCTTCCAGAACCTGCACTCCAATGCATTGCTCTCGCACATTTATGACTTGTGTGGACTTTTGCACAACTTCCCATTCCTTCGAGCAAAGGTTAAATGCCAGATTATTGCAATGTTCCTGTAGAGATTCAAACATGGCATCTTGGTTTGTCAGGGTCGTAGGAAGTACTACACTGGGATCTTTGTTGTAAACAGGGGAAAGAGGGACATCAGACTGGATTTCCATGCCTTTCAAGTTGTTCTCTGCTACAGAATCCAGAGAACAGGGTGTAATTTTTCTTTTCCTGATCATTTGGCATTTTACATTATTTTTCTTGGAAAAACGTAAAGAGCCATCATTAGGGTTCTCCAAGCCTTTGCTGTTAAAGCAATCCGCATTCCCTACAAACTGTCGAATAACTGACTCCATTGAGTTCTGCTTTTCAAGCAGGTGGGAAATCTTACCCAATACCATGTTCAAACTGTCCATATAGGTACTACACGAGTGCAAACCTTTTTTGACATGTGTGTACCACAGCAACTCACATTTAAACCAGTTTGTAGACAGATAATTATACAAATCCTCGTCCATTTTGGGCTTAAGTTTTGAAGATAGATAAGACAACGTTTGCGGAGAGGTGCAAAATATGGCATCTTCTATCGATTTACGGAGCCATTCCTTAAAGGATTGTTTTGCCTTCACATTCTTTTCGATAAAAATAACCGTGTGGTAGACAGACAGAAGAATCTGAGCAGAAGGGAACACCTGTTTTATTGAAGCACTGTGAGAAAAACTCACATCTGTAAAAATAATCTTTATTTTTTTCCAATCTGGATTGAAGTCCTGAAAGATGTTCAGAATATTGGACACAGTTTGTGCGTTGTCCTGTTTAACAAAGGAAAAGTGGACAAGTTTTCCTACACGTTCTTTGCTCTCGACCAAGAAAGCATACAAGACATAGTCATATTTAACATCCACTCTGTGTATTAGGAGACTCTCTGGGAACTTTACAAAGTGCTCACCCATTTTACTGGTCTGAAAGCACAACAGCTCGAGTTCCTGCTCAGCCCCAATGGTTATTGTGGCTTTGGCACCGCTATCATTGAGCAGAAAGTTTTGCATGAGTGTTGCTAATCGTTGCACAGCTTCTACAGAGATTGAGCCGTCAGGGGATTCAAAGTCTGTAATCTCACTGAGGGAAGGAGCAACACATTTGACTTTTGACGGAGTCTTCACCGGTAAAGACTTTGCCTTCTGTGACAAATCTGAGGATTTCTGGGAGGAACTCTGTTTAGAATGGTCATTTGAGATTACGTCACGCCGCCTTCGAACGCGAGGTTTTTTTGAAACTGATGCATCATTAGCAGGAATGAGTGAAGGCTGATGCTCTTCTTGCAAGTGGACATGATTGTTGTTTGCCTCCATTACGACCAAGCAATCCAGTCTCTCAACATACTGCAAAATGAAATAGGCTGGGCAGTTTTTTACTTTAGACTTCTTTTTGCCACTGTATCCCCCCACAAATGAACAGCAAAACCTTGCATCAACGAACCTGCAGAAAGGATAATAAAGAAGTACAAAGATGAGTCTTCTCACACCACATGGAAAAAAATGATGGTTACACACATACAAATATCCCACCCCCTCCAATACTACTGCATTCACCATTAAATATGAAGAGAGGACTGATAACTGGATCATTTACTAAAGTGTGAATCTAAAAATGTAAGTCAAAACAGCAAAATAGGAATAAAACACCAACCTATCTTGGGTTTATGCACTAAATCCAGTATTGCAGTAAATTGAAATCTGAAGCAGACAGTTTAGGTTACAATAACAAACCTGGGAAAAATAAATAAATCTCAATATTTAGCTTGGCTATTCGAGGGTAGATTTTGACACGTTTAATCCGTACATTAGTGAATAACCCTGTATTGGTTTTGATGAATTCTACTTGTTCAAGCAGAAATGTGAAGATTTATTAATTAAACTCCAAATCGTGGTCATCGGCAAAATGTATGTTTAAATGGTCAAGCTGTGAAATTAACTGAAATCTTTTCTAAAGCAACTAATTATTGCGATTCCTTTTTTTTTTTTTTTTAAATCACTGCAAATCAGTTTAGGGAATAAACCCACGGAAGTTTGAGAGGCCAGGTATAGAAGTAGTATGCATAGTTTGAGCAGCAAGTTTAGAAAAAGTAAGAATAACTTTAAACTGGAATTTAAGGAACGAATATGCACTTATTTTTGGTACATGCATTAAACCACACTTAAAGTGTACCTTCAATAAACTATCAACTATACAAATTAAATACTACACTAAAGGGATACTGTAGTAGGCACTATAACTATTTCATCTCATTGACTTGCTTATAGTGCCTTGGGTCCCTCCATTTGGTATTGAACCATTTTCAAACAGTTTAAAACCACAGGGGCCTAGCGCTTAATGGAGATGATAGAGACTATCAATACAGTAACAAGTCTATCATAAGAATACAATGTTGCGTAACTACAGCAGCTAAGAAAAAAATATCGTAACACTTCCTAATAAAGCAGAATCAGTAATAAGCTGGAATCTATTGATGAAAGTAGAGAGAGGTACTGAACAAATATCTTTCCGGTACATTAATCAAGAATAAATGCTGAGCGATCTATGCAATACACTTAAAAAGTAAACGCCAGTTCACCAAGTGCATGATCCAACGCTTTCCAAAGCATTGCTGCAGAAAAGCACAAAATGCAGCCTCTGTGGGTAAAAGAAAGTATTAAACCACTATTCCTATAGCGATAGAGTAGTTTCCAATTTGAAGTTTCCTAAGTCGCACAGACTCTTAGGATGGCTAGATATCAAATAGTATATAACTCAATTCCCAAATACAGACATGATCCATAGTGGTAAAACAAACTCAGGATCCTGAGACAGAGGAGTCAATACTTAATCAAACATAAGGTAAGTGTAAAATCTCAGGATCACCAAGTTCCCCTGATGCGAGCGTTTCGCCCACAGCTCAGAGGGGAACCGATGTGTGGTAAATAGCCGAAGTTATAAAGTGGAGTAACCATTCTGAAAAGTAAGTTCAAAAATCGTCTTCCTTAGATCAACCAATTAGAATCAAATTGATTGATGACGTAATAGGTTAGTCAAAGTTAACCCTAATATGTGGTCTGGATGATCAATTTTAAAAAAAATTGGAAAGTTGTTAATCAGAGTTAAAGACTGTAATCCATATCCTCACTGGAGGATTATTGTACAGTGCCTTATCGTTTTTGATAATGGGTGAGGAAAAATGAAGAGGTGAAATAAATCACATCCTAGCATACTATCGGTCACATATGTAACAATAATAGATAAATATCTATTATTGATGAGAGGTGGAAAAAGAATGAAAATAATGTATATACCTTGGTTTATTATTATATTTGTGAATATCAATATGTATATACCTTCGTTTATCACTACCTTATTCAACAGTTTAAAACCAATCCCCTCTCCCCCCCCCAGGAAGTATGGTGAGGAAGAGTTGAGAAAATTCCTTCTTGCAATACCGATTCACATCAGTAATAAGCGCTGTGTTAGGCTGAAAATGGTCAGCTGACACGGTCACCCACTGTTGCTCAGGCCAATGCTTTGTCATTAGCCCAAGCAGCACATAGGAAATGGGCTGCTACGTACTCATTTAGAAGACACTAAACAGTTTTAACCCTGAATAAGATGACGCTAGGGGTTTCCAGAAACTATAGCCACTTCAATGAGAAGACACAGTTAGTGTCCCTTTAATTCATTTTCTCCTGGCTTTTGTTTCTGCTGAGCATTGTAATATGTCTGCGCACACATAGCATGCAAGTCAACCTTACAAAGCAGAGATATTTGTGACGAATTGCTAGGGAAACCCTTCAATTGCCAAGTTCTACTTAAAGGACCACTATAGTGCCAAGAAAACATTCACCTTTTCCTCTGGCACTATAGTGCCCTGAGGGTGCTCCCACCCTCAGGAACCCCCTCCCGCCAGACTGGATGGGTTAAACTTACCTTTTTTCCAGCGCCGGGCGGGGACCTCTCCTCCTCCTCTTCGGCTGAATGCGCATGCACAGCAGGAGCTGCGCACGCATTCAGCTGGTCTCATGGGAAAGCATTAACTAATGCTTTCCTATAGAGGCTTGCGTCTTCACAGGCAGAGGTGGAATGCGTCAGGATCCAAACTTCGGAGTTAAGCGGTTTCAAAAAGGCTTAACCCATGAAGCTAAAATGGCACACAGACACTAATGCCTCCATAGTTTAAATGAGTGTAGATTTGAAATAGATTAGGATTAATAAGATTCCTTTAATCCAATTTTGCCATACCGGCTCTGACTGTTTTAGCACACCCAAGGTCACAGTGTACATTTTAAAATATAAACGGTTCATAATTTAAAAGAAATCAATAGTACAACTTATAACCAACTTTCAATTCCCTACAATAACGTGTTTAGTTATTAAAGGATCACTATAGTGTCAGGAAAACAAACCAGAGTCCCCCTCCCTTGGCGCTGAAGGGGTTAAAACTCCTTCAACTACTTACCTTAAAGTGACACTCCAGGCACCCAGACCACTTCTGCCCATTGGAGTGGTCTGGGTGCCAACTCCCACTACTCTTAACGCTGCAAGTGTAAACAGCCACTAGAGGGCACTTCCTGAATCATAGCACAGAAAACCTGTGCTAGAGAGTCGCTGGACATCCTCACGCTGTGTGAGAACCTCCAGCATCGCTCAATTCCCCATAGGAAAGCACTGAAAAGCATTTTCAATCCTTTCCTATGGGAGCTCTAATGCGCATGCGCGGCATTGCAGCGCATCAGGTCTCCCCGGCCGGTGGGCAGGATCAGTCTCGCCCACCAGCCGACGTAATACAGAGGATGAGCGGAGGCGGACCAAGAAGCAGCAACGTGGGTCATGTCGCTGCCTTTGGTAAGTTACTGAAGGGGTGAACCGGGAATTATGGGGTGGGAGGGAGAGGGGACCTGCAGTGCCAGGAAAACGGTTTTCCTGGTACTGGAGTTTCACTTTAATCCAGCGCCGGACTCCCTTTGCATGGGTGACCTCTCCTCCCCTGCCGACGTCAGCTGCCGAGTGGAGCGGAATGCGCTGCAAGTGCCGCGTGCGCATTCAAACAGTCCATAGGAAAGCATTTCTCAGTGCTTTCCAATGGACGATCTGCACGCTGGATGCGAAACGTCTGCACCAGATGCGCATCTAGTGGCTGTCAGGAAGACAGCCACTAGAGGTTGGATTAACCCTGCTATGTAAACATAGCAGTTTCTTTGGAACTGCTACGTTTACATCTGAAGGGTTAAAACCTGAGGGACCTGGCACCCAGACCACTTCATTGAGCTGAAGTGGTCTGGGTGACTATAGTGTCCCTTTAAGTCACATATAGATAATTCACATTCAATCTATTCCGCGATACTGCCATGGTATTTCATCAACAATAACATATAGCCATTTTAAAATTAACCTCTAAGTGAATCAAACAAACAAACAAAAAACCATACAAAAACTAAAATCAAATTATGCAGAGTTCATCTGCCATCCTTACATGATATCGCGGCGCACCTCGGTTATGGCATTCCTGGAATTATGGTGTCGCACAGACACGCTGCTCTTGATGAAATAGTCGTGAACGGCATTTGCTTTTAAAGTCTTGCTGAAGTCATCGTAGCTGAAAAAACAAGTGCCCTCCTGCATCGTTCCACCGCATCCACCTGGCGAGATGGCGCCTTTAAGCCAAGTAATCCGTTTAAAAAAATATATATATATATTTTTTTCTAAAACTGGCTGAGCTGATAGCAGTGGGTTTCACAGGAACATATTTAGCATGTTTATATTAATATATACATATCCCATCAGGATGCTTGCATGGTCAAGGTCTCCAGGCCACTAGTGGTTTATAGAGAGGATATTGCCATAGCCTGGTCTGTGGTAGCCCATGGGTGGGAAAAATTAAAAAAATAAAAAAAAAATAAATCAACTTTAAGGACTTCTCTACATAGACCCCAGATTTTCTATGTGAGTGGGCACTCAGAGCTCCATGTTGTTCACTCTGTTGGTGTAAATCTAGGTGTGTGAGGGCCCTCTCTCAGGCAGGAACCATATATATGTGGGCTCACTTCCGGTTGCTCCCACAGAGGTCAGTCCTGGCTTCCGGTGCCCTAACCGTTTATTCTGCCTGTGAATCCCCCTATGGCCACGTGACCTGGAATACCTGACCAGCTGGCTGCTTGGTTACGTAAGAACCAGCGCCGAACATCCGAGCACTTCCGGTAAGCAACCGCCAAACAAAACAAAACTCACCTCCTGCTATATATAGGGGTGGGTTTTAAGCCACGCCCCGCAGTCTTTTATAGTTTCTGATATAGAGCCACGCCCACTCACAGGTGGCCAATGAATGAGAAGATGAGGACATGATTGACATGGTTCAGGTAACCGGCCAATCAGTGTGTGGATGTGCGTCACGCGGTGAGATCGAACGTTCAGCATCGAGAGCCATTGGGTGGAATTCACAAGCGGAAGTCGCTTTTTTTTTTCTTTTTCCAGCATCCTGTATGAAGGGGAGAGGGCGTGGCGATGGCTTGGCTTGGCAGATTTGGTCCAGCGGTCCGGGGTGGTCATGTGATCGCCACTCAGTCACGTGATTTGCAAGATGGCAGCTTCCCTGCAGCCTGAAGATCTCCCAGAGCCGGAAGAAGCCAATGACTCGGATTTGAGGAGTGTGCTGGTCACTAGTGTCCTAAATCTAGAGCCATTGGACAAAGACCTGTTCAGGTACCTGGAGATTGTTTGTTTATCCTGTTATATATATATTTATATAAAAAATAATAATAAAACAGAAAGATGGGGAATGCTTTGCCTATGAGTTCAACATTTGAACACATTCCAAGCACCATAATCAGTGCAGCTTGCTGTAGTGGTTATGGTATTAGGGGTGCTCTGGCACCCTCCCATTTGAACTTCTTATCTAGGGTCCACTTGAGTCCACAGAGCTGTTATAGTGGTCACGGAGCTGGGCGTGTTCCCTTAAAGCAGGGGTTCTCAACTCAGTCCTCAAGGACCCCCTACCAGTCCAGGATTTAGGGATTACCTGGATGTGTCTAAGGTGTTTAGAAAAAGAAGAAAACACACCGTAGACACACCCAGGTAATCCCTAAATCCTGGACTGGTAGGGCGTCCTTGAGAACTGGGTTAAGAACACCTGCTTTAAAGGAACAATATAGTCACCGGAAGACATACAGCTTAATGTAGTTGTTCTTGTGAATACAGTAAGTCCCTGTAGGCTTTTTTTTTTTTATTTTTAGACAAAATGCAGTGGTGACATTGCTCCCTAGGAACCCATCCAGTGGCAGTCACTCAGATGGCCACTAGAGGTGCTTCCTGGGTCAGTGCTGCACAGTAACGTTCAGCGTCTCCACGCTCTGAATGGAGGCACCGAACTTTCGCCATAGAGATGCATTGATTCAATGTATCTTTATGAGGCCATGTTGATTGGCCAAGGCAACATTTGGCTCCAGCCTCATCCTGCCTCCTTGGTTGAGATCATCAGTATTGAGGATGTGGGAAAACATTGCATTGGTTGAAATGATCCGCTTCTTTGGCTGGCATCATCAGAACTGATCAGTGCTAGAACCAGCGCCTGCAGATGCTGTAGTGTCCCACCAGGGTTGACATTTAAGAATCATCTGCCACCTCTCCTGCTACTGGAAATTTTTAAATCGCTATAGTAGATATACCACAATGAAACATGCATGCATTTACTTATGCTTCATTTCTTAACATAGCTTACAAAAGTTGCAGATTTCTTTTCTTAAACCGTTGCAATTTCTTGCCTTCTAACCTGGCCCAAACTTTCTGTGGCTGTCCAATTACAAACTTCCCAAATGCAGCTCAATGAGAATTGCTTTGAGCAATTGCTGCCTCGTTAATTTGGCTCCACTGAGCTAAACAGTTAGGAAGTAACCGGTCCAGTTGTCTGACAGCCAGTGGGCGTAACAAGGTTAATTCAAAAAAAGTGTCAATTTCTATTGAAATCCATACCTTTTTTGTAAAATAAAACAAAGAGGACAAACTCTTCACACATAAAACACTTAAAGGACCACTCTAGGCACCCAGACCACTTCAGCTTAATGAAGTGGTCTGGGTGCCTGGTCCAGCTAGGGTTAACCCATTTTTTCATAAACATAGCAGTTTCAGAGAAACTGCTATGTTTATGAATGAGTTAAGCCTTCCCCCTAATCCTCTAGTGGCTGTCTCATTGACAGCCACTAGAGGCGCTTGCGTGCTTCTCACTGTGATTTTCACAGTGAGAGCACGCCAGCGTCCATTGGAAAGCATTATGAATGCTTTCCTATGTGACCGGCTGAATGCGTGCGCAACTCTTGCCGCGCGTGCGCATTCAGCCGCATGGGAGGAGAAGAGGAGGATCGGAGGAGGAGAGCTCCTCGAGTATGTTTTCCTGGCACTATAGTGGTCCTTTAAAGCAAGCTGAAGTGCTTTAGCGGTCTGGAGTGTCCCTTTAACCCCAACACTGCTATTAACCTAGTGGCAGCACTAGCAAATAGTTCGAATTTCAGTAAATTCACTTTCCAACTACTAGGTTAATTTATGAACCAGATTTGCCTGTTTCTGAGTAGAATTTGGTAGAAATTCGGCATTAGGTAGGTGTGTGTGTGTGTTAAAAAAAACAGATAAAATTTGTATCTTGTAATATCTTTTTTTTAATTGGACTAACAGAATTTTTTAATGACAAGCTTTCGGGAGAACCTTCCTTTCTCAAGTCTGAAGCATTTCTGAGCAAGATAACACATAGAATTCAAAGTTGAATTGTGATTAAATATGAGAATGTGAAATCTAGTTGTAATCTGGTAATTTTCACCAAATTTTGTTCATTCGGAAAAATTCTTTTTTTAATAAATAAATCTCATACGGAGCACACTTTGGTAATTGTCATCTACTAAGTTACTCACTTTGGATAATTCTTTGATTGCTTCACAGAAGGTGGTAGCAACAGAGAATAATTCTACATGTGTTTGCAGAGCCCATGCTATTGTAATAGTGCATAAATATTAGTGATTCAACCCATTTAACATCATTTTTACACAGGGGATCTCATCACTGGATACCAGCCACACAGAGATTATTTGGTGGTCAGATAGTGGGTCAAGCTTTAGTGGCAGCAGCTAGATCTGTGAATGAAGATGAGCATGTCCACTCCTTACATTGCTACTTTGTTCGAGCAGGTAACATTCTATTCTTTCTACACAATATATATTTTGTATACACACATAGTGTATTATATAAAATGAAATAAGAAAGAGAACATTTGCAAGGCTTCTAAGGTGAATCCAATCTTCATGGTGACCGTAGTCAAAGTTACAAACCAATTAGCTAGCACTAGTTCATTGTAGACTGCAAGTTGACATAAGGTAGTAAGTTGAACAAGAATTGAGAACATTGATAATATGGGTGAGAAGAGTAATACGAACAGTAATACCTATGAATTCAGGATCATTGAAAAGGTTTAGTGCTACTGATTTTGTTTTGTTTTTTGCCCTCTTAAATTGCGATTCCAGTAGAAACATTATGTACGTGAATCAGTGTTAATTTCACCAACTAACCATTTTCATCAGATGGAAATTTTCAAGATTTAGTCAACTAAAACTAAAAAAATTCAGATGACTGAAATACGGCTAAAACTAAAATTGCTTTTTAGTCAAAAGACTATGACTAAAACAAAATGGAAATTTACCGCCAAAATTAACCCTAGTGGGTTAGACACATGGGGGAGGGAGGAGAGGAAATGAGATACATAGTGGGCTGGGGGAATGAGATGCATAGATGGGCTGGGACACACAAAGCGACAAAGAGGGGCTGTGGAGAGAAAGAGACGGACAGAGGGACTGAAAGGTGGGGGCAAAAAACCCACTGAGAGGCAGGGAATAGGTAAAAGAGATCGATAGGGAAAGGGGCAAAAGAGACAGACAGGGGCTTGTGTGGGAGACACCCAGAGGGACTGGGGGGGATACAAAGAGATACAGAGGGGCTGACAAATGACAAAAGAGACAGACTTTAACTAAACCCATTTCATTTAGTCGTGTCAACTAAAATGTACTGGAGATTTAGTTGACTAACAGCAATTCAGATTACTAAAATACGACTAAAACTAAAATGACCTTTTAGTCAAAAGACTAAGACTAAATTGAAATTTGCCGCCAAAATTAACCCTGAGGTGAATCCAAGCCTACATGGAAAATGAGAAATTAAGTTATGCTAGGACTAATGGCAAACCTCTCGCCTGTATGTTTTCCATGGTATCATCTGTCCACAAGGGACAAAGCCCTTGTAGCGAACTAATCTAAAGTTTACAAACTGTAATGAAGGCTGGTAGCTACGACACGTCTCCGTGGAACATTTAGTCTCCTTCATTATGTCACTAGCTGCATTCCCTTCGTCTATGACTGGGTGTCTGCGTGCTGTTATAGCTGAGAAAAATGACAGATTCTTCTAAATGAGTTCAGAGGAGTTTATTCTTGTAATAAAGTTAAAATGACAATGCTGGGTCAGTAGCGGATGGCGTGATGAATTCATTATTGCATTATGGTTGTATCTTACTACTTAGGTGTTAATGTCAGAACGTCATCATGGATGTTTAGCATTTCTCATCTAAATACACACACAATGCTCTTTTGATAGAACTGGTTAAATTCTACATCCTGCATGTAGCTGTACAGCATGGAAGGGATACGATTTATGCTCACCAGTTTCTCCAGATAGCAACCTTGAATACAAGAAATTAGATATAGCAGACATCTGCATTTTTTCAGAATTAACAATTTCATTGCAACACAGCAAATACACATTAACCCATTCTTTGCAATTTTCATGTTTCATCATACGTTTTCTAAAACTATTCTGTAAAATAAACTCAATTTTGCCTTTTCTTCTTTATTAGCATCTGTTCGGGTCAGCGTTTCCTCCATTAACTCTACCCCGGAACAATTAACAAGTGGCTGTAGAATTATGTAGAATTAAACCCTATAAAGGATCCTGGATAAGCAGTCAAACTGAACTGGCTGGGTTAATAACATCGGGATAAGAATCTAGAACCCCAGTACCATAGTATACTGATTAATGATAAATGCATCAAACTCTGCACTAAATCTTATATACTAGCTTTTGGTTGATCCTTTAAGAGCAGTGTGTCTTTGCTCACTTCCTCTTTACCATTTTCTTTTTTTTTTTGACAATCTTTATTTATGTATTCAGTTTTACAATTTTGAAAGGATGGGTGTACAGAAGGGAAAAGGGTGGGAAGTCAAACAGTTATTTGTATTGCACCAATGCAGTGATAGATATCCATAATAGCATAACAATACCCATTTCCGTGTTTATAGATCACACAGTAGTTGAGAGCTGTGGGTATACCCATTATCGAGTGCAATTCGACCTGTTCTGTATCTGTGAGTGTCCTATGTCTTTGATATTCTCATACCCCCAACCATTTGGGACTTCTTGCAGCTCAGGGCGTGATATTCGTGGGAGGGGTGTGGGGCCCAGCCAAGTGCAAGTTTGTAGAGGCTGTATGTGTGGGTGGGTCTGCTTGTGGCGGGGCTTCCCGGCGGGTTTGTTTAGGGCTTTTCAAATGTTGTGGCTAGGGTGTCCTGTCCCGTCCCACCTGTGTCCAGGTGTACGAGCCCTGTAAGGAATGTTCTTTTCTGTGGTTGGGGGAGCATGAGTAAGAGATATGTCCCGCGGGTGTGCGAGCCTAGCAGGTGGTATTGCATGTGTGTTGTTGGGTTGCTTCTGGGGCTAAAAGCTGTGGGGTCTATTGTGCGGTGGATCTAGCTTATGGGCCATTAGATTTTTGGGCGTTTAGGGTATCTTGTGTGTTTCTGTCCCTTAATATCGCTTTTGTGAGTTCTATCTGCTGTCCCTCTGTGGATCCGTGTTTGGTATGGAACATCTGTATATGTTCTCTTGGATTAAATGTCTCAGTCAAGTACGTGGTGTGGGGTGGTCTGGTCAAGCAGAAGTCAAGAGGCTGAGGGGGTTATATGGGGTGGGGTGGCGGGTGCAGTCTAGCTGGGGAAAAGAGGAAGCAAGATTAGGAGTAAGGCGGGAGAGGGCATCGGTAACTTATCGGAGCGAAGTTTTTCATGAGGCTGAGCCTGCTGCCGCGGTGTATAGGTTAGGTGGCATTTCTCCGAATGGCCCCGGAGGGCTGCTGTCATGGACTCCATGGAATGTATTTCTCCCACTCTATCCACCCATTGTTGGAAGGTGGGGGAAGTCGGTTTTTTCCACAGGGTGGGTATCAGTGATTTAGCTGCAGTCAGTAGGTGTCTAGTGAGGGATTTTTTGTATGTTTGCAGCGAAATGCTGGTGTGATGTAGTAGCATGGGTAGGGGTTGAAGTGGGAACTCAGGGTCTGATATCTCTCGTATTTTGGTGTTTACCATCTCCCAGAATGGGACGATGGCTGGGCAGGTCCACCATATGTGGATCATGGTGCCTCTCTCTGCTCCGCATCTCCAGCAATTTTCGTCATTGTCCGGGTTCATGCGATGCATTATGTCAGGGGTTCGGTACCAGGTGGTTAGTAGTTTATAGCTCATCTCCTGGAATTTTGAGCTAATAGAGCTTTTGTGTGTGAGTAGGAATATTTTATCCCATTCACGGGCCTCAAGTACCTCCCCCGTCTCCCTCTCCCATCTGGCGATGTATTTCGGTGGTGGTCTATTCTCACCCTCCAATAGCAGTGCATATAGCGTCGAGATCCCTCTCTCGATGTGTCGTCTACTGATGCATATTTTTTCAAAATATGTGGGGTCTCGGTGGAATTGCTGTTTGGCTGTCGCGGAGTTGTAGAAGGATTTGACCTGGTGATATCTGAACCGGTCGAGCATCGTTGGTGCAGTATCAGGGATTAGTTCGGGTATGGTTTTCAGTGCGCTGTTGTTGCACCATTGGCGTATATAGGACCAATCGGACCGGCCAAAGTTTCTTAGGTCAGCGGGTGACAGTCCTCCTCCAATGTCTGGGTTATGGGTGAGGGGTGTAAGCGGGTTGCTATGTGTCGTCAGCTGGTAGGGGAATCGGAGAGCGCACCATACTTTTAGGGTTGCGGCTATCAGAGGGTTGCCGGTGTTGAGGGCGTTCGGTGTAATTCCCGTCCTCCATAGTTCCGAGGGTATTTTCCCCTCGGCCTGAGCTAGTTCTGCCCGCACCCATAGTTTCTCCGTTGGATGCGAGTGCCAGTCAGTGACCCTCAGCAAATGGGTTGCTCGGTAGTAGCCAATGATCGAGGGGAGTCCCGCTCCCCCCTGCAATTTGGGTAGCTCCAGTTGGAGCTTGCTGATTCTCGGAGCTCCTCTTTTCCATACGAAGTGTCGAATCGCGGTGGAAATATTGTGGAAAAAGGCCCGAGGGACGGTGATCGGGATTGTCTGGAAGAGATACAGAATGCGCGGGAGGATGTTCATTTTTATTGCGTTAATACGACCGAACCACGAAATGTAGAGGTCAGTCCATTTGGCCATGTCAGCCTGTAGGGAGGTGAGGATTGGGGCAAAATTAGCCTGGTAAAGATGTGAGAGGTCTTTAGTCAACCAAATGCCGAGATATTTCAATTTGGTACCGCACCATCTGAACCCGTAGTGGGAGCGTAGTTGCGCCCCGAGTGCGGCTGGGGCCGCGATGTTCATGGCCTCCGACTTGTCGGTGTTGAGTTTCAGGTTCGAGATCCTCCCAAATCGTTGGAATAGGCCTAGTGTGTTTGGGATGGAGATCAGGGGTTGTCCCAGGAAGAACAGCAGGTCATCGGCGTATGCCGCTACCCGATGTTCTACGTTCCCTATTGTGTGTCCTGTGATTCCCCCGTCCATCCTGACCGCCTCCAGGAACGGTTCCAGGGAGAGGGCGAACAGCAGGGGGGACAGGGGACACCCCTGTCGTGTGCCATTTCGTATAGGGAATGGCTCTGAGAGGGCACCGTTGACTCGTATTCGAGCCGTGGGTGTCGTGTAGAGTGCCGCTATCCATGTTCGGATATTAGGTCCGAGTCCCATGTGTTGTAGGGTGGCTGCGAGGTAGGCCCAGTCCACTCGGTCGAAGGCCTTTTCAGCGTCCGTGGAGAGGAGAGTAAGATGCCGACCCTGCCTTCGAGCCGAGTGGATAATGTTGAGGGCCCGTATGGTGTTGTCCCGTGATTCTCTGCCTGGGATGAAGCCCACCTGGTCCGGGTGGACCAGTGAGGGAAGCACCCCGGCAAGACGGAGGGCCATGGCCTTCGCAAACAACTTTAGGTCTGCATTCAGGAGGGAAATGGGGCGGTAACTCGCACAGCAGGCTGGATCTTTTCCCTCTTTAGGTAGGACCGTAACCACGGCCCTGAGGGTGTCCATCGGGAACTGTTCGCCCTCTAGCAGAGAGTTCAGGCCTGTCAACAGGTGCGGCAGCAGAACGTCTCTAAATGTGCGAAGGTAGCTCCCAGGGAGACCATCTGGACCCGGCGCCCTGTTTGATTTGGTTAGTTTAAGCGCCGCAGTTAGTTCCTCCAGGGACAGGGGCTGTTCCATGTTCGCGGCTTGGTCGGGGGTGAGTTTCCGGGTGACGTGTTTGGTGAGGAAGTCTGTTAGCTCGCGTTTGTGTTGTGCGGGGAGAAGTGCGCTGGGCGTGTCGGCCAGGTTATATAGGCTTGTGTAGTATTCCCTGAATGCTTGTAGGATCTCTGCTGGCAGTCTCGTTTCCTGTTGGCCATGGGCTTTTATTTTGTGAATGTGGGTTTGCCTCCGTCTCTGCTGCAAAGTCCGAGCCAGCAGTCTACCGCATTTATTCGAGTGTTCATAAAAAAAGCGGTGTGAGCTGTGTACCACTTTAAGCAGCTTCTGCGAGAGTATGTCCCTAAGCTGTCTTCTCGCGTTGGTCAGTTGGAGGTAGATGTCTTCTGTCAAATCCCTTTTATGGGTGGATTCGAGTTCAGTTATCCGTTTAGTCAATTCAAGGATGCGTCTGGTGTTCTCCCGTTTGCGTTGTGTGCAAAGATTTATGTAGTGCCCCCTGATTACGCATTTGTGCGCCTCCCAGGTTGTCAGGGGGGACACGTCCGGGGTGGTGTTTGTTTCAAAATATTGGGTAAGGACCTGTGTGGTCAGCCTAGAGCATTCTGTATCCGATAGTATAGTTTCGTTTAATCGCCAGTGGCGCTCCCGTGGCTTGAAGAGGGGCGATTGAATCTGGATGGACACAGGGGCGTGATCAGAGTCTCCTTGGATCCCAATGTCTGCGGTGATAAGCAGGGGGAGGAACTCTTGCGCGATAAAGACGTAATCTATCCTGCTGTATTGATTGTGGGGGGCAGAGTAGCAGGTATAATCCCTGCTGTCCGGGTGTGCCGCCCGCCAGCAGTCGGATAGGCCTAGTCTGTTGAGTGTTTGTTTGGTCCTGCGTATGCAGTGGTCTGGGATGGTGCTGTCACCCCTTGACGTGTCTACTCGGGGGTCCAGAGGGGTGTTCAAGTCACCCGCTAATATCAGTAAGCCTTCCTTGAATTTGTCTAAGCGGGACAGTGCCTTAGCCAGGAATGTGTGTTGACCCCGGTTGGGGCAGTACACATTAGCTAGGGTATACGGGCGATCTGCTATGGTTCCTTTTATGAAGAGATACCGTCCCAGCGGGTCAACCTGTGTGGCGGTGCATTGGAAGGGCACCGTCCCTGCGAAGAGGATTGCCACACCTGATTTTTTGGAGTCCTGGTGGTTCGCGAAAAAGCCCTGGGGGAATCTTTTATCATGTAATGTGGGGGCTGACCCATCTTTAAAGTGGGTCTCCTGCAGAAATGCCACGGAGACCTTCTGGGACCACAGTGTCCGTAGAAGATGTGAGCGCTTCTCGGGGATGTTCAAGCCCCTTATGTTGTTGGACCAGAACCGAAGCGGGGCTGATTGAAATTTTTGAGACATCGCGGCAGAGGCTGGCCAGGCTGGGATGGGGAAGTGGGAGGTGGGGTGGAGGGGTGAGGGGAAAAGAGAGAGGGGGGGGGAGAGAAGTTAGATATAATAAGTGGAGGGGGGGAGGAGAGATGTCGGGGAGAGCAAGTCTGTCGGTGACCGTCGGTGTGTGTGTGGGGGATAGTGTGGTCAGGGGTAAAAGACAACAGTGACCCAAGATCGGTCGTGTTCCCCAGGGGACGTCCGATCCGTCTATGGTCGGTAAGACCTCTGGGCCCGATCGAATTTACAAGCCGAGTCGGTTGTGTGGGGTTGTAGTAACCAGGTGGAGTGAAATTCTCATGGGGAAATTGAGGCTACTGCTTGTGCCCGGCTCAAGTGAGTTGCTCGGGTAACCTGAGCCTGGGGAGCCAATCGCTCGAGAACGTATCGCCGCCGTGAGCTGCAGACCCTTTGTGTATATATCAGAGAATTATGTAACGAAGAAGAAGAAGAAGAAGAAGATGATTTAGGAGGGGTTAACTTGAACATTATAGCATAAACTTGGCCTAACGTAGTATACTATTAAACGGCCGGAGCCAGGCCTGTCCCGCCTCATGGTCCCCTAACAGTCCTCGCCCACCTCTTTAGTCCCCCCCGCGGGTGTCAGCTCCCCCCTGGAACGTCTGTGGTGCCTACCTCGGATCTCTCCTCCCCATTGTGTCTGTGTCTCAGGTCCCACTAGCCCAGTTAGAAGCCTCCGTTTATCGGGCCCACTTATTCCCCCAACCCGAGGCCTGGTGTGGTGCCCCCCCTATATGCTTGGGCTAGGTATCATAGGCTTGTAGTGTCTGTCTTGTTGGCTACAGGGGGTGTAGTGTCGCCCCCTCCCCGCACCACCCCGCACAGGCACCCGGCCCCGCTCCCCGCCTGCTCCCTCTGTGTCCCCCAAGCCCGCTAGTTCCACGAACTTCCCTCCTGCACCCGAGCAAAACTAGTAAGGGGAACCTTTAACAGCCACATGTGGAGGGATAGGAGTGCCCAGGTTGTGTGCCCAAGGCCCACCCGCGCCCCTATGATGGAGTGACCATGATCGTAGAGTAAGTTAGCCCTCCACACGTGTGGGTTTCGTGTCTGCTATCCCTCCTCCCAAGTAGGCTTTTCCCACCCGCAAGTAGGGTGAGTTTCGTGTCTGCTATCCCTCCTCCCAAGTAGGCTTTTCCCACCCGCTGTAGCTTTCTGGACTTTTCACGACTTAAAGGGACATTATAGGCACCCAGACCACTTCCGCTCATTAAATTGGTCTGGGTGCAATGGTTCCTTCAGTTTAACCCTGCAGTTTTATTAATTGTTGTTACTGATAAACTGCAATATTTACCTTGCAGGGTTAACTCCACCTCTAGTGGCTGTCTATCAGGCGACAAAGGGGTTTTTAACCCTTTCAGCACCAACGTTGTATTACCAGCACTACAGTTTCCTTTTAAAGGATCTGCTGCTAATGTCTTAGTGCCAGATATTTCAGCACATGTTTATAGGTCTTGTGGAGTCTATGCCTTGACACATCAGAGCAGTATTGGCATCACAAGTGAGACCTACACAATATTAGGCAGGTGTTTTTTGTTTTTTTTGTGAATATGTTCTTTTGTTTTTCCATTTTAATTAACAGTGAGACTTGCAAGTCTCCATTTGCGTTTAACCTGTAGCATTTTAAAGATTTGCATATTTATTTGGGCTCGCAGGTCCCTTGCATCTTTCCGTTTTAAGGATATGTGTGTGTGAATACATCTATTGTGAAAGCATGGATGAAATAAGGTCGTGTAACAGCCCGGATCCTGTGACCCGCAGGTCCGCATCTTTCGTCTTTGCCCCCTTTGATGGTCCCTGTATGGTTTGTGTGTACACATTGTCTATGTGTCTGGTCTTCTCGTGTCTGTTTTAGTATTAAGTGGTCACCTTAGTACTGGTATGATGGTGTTGCGGGGGGTGTTACAGCACCTGTGAACGGTCTTCTCCCTATCTCTCTGGTTTTGTGGCGTCTTTTGTCTAGATTCGTGGTGGGGTCGATATCATGTTAGTGAAGTCTGGTTCGTTTGTCTTCAGTATCCAATGTGTCCAAGTGTTGAGATACGCTTGGAATGTTTCATTTGCGGTGTGGTGGAGTTCCTCTAGGGATCTCAGTTCCTCCATTTGTGTGAACCAGGCTTTCAGGGTAGGGGTAACCTGTTGCTTCCAATACTGTGGTATTATCGTTTAAGCCGTGTTCAGTGTGCGGATTGTGAGCGATTTCTTATACGCTGTTCTAGGGATCTTGGTGTGGTATAAAAGCATTGCTGCTGGGCTGAGTGGAAGGGTCGTCTGTAAACTTCCCTAATATCTTGTGTGTATCTTTCCAGTACCGGGCTATCTTTTTGCACTCCCACCAGATGTGTAGGAGCATACCTCCTTCCTCCCCGCACCTCCAACACTGGGGGGAGTGTGATGGGATGCGTGCATGTAGCGTCGCGGGAGTATAGTACTAGTGCGTCAATAATTTATATGCCGTTTCTTGTGTCTTGCTAAATCTGGAACAGTGGTGTGTGAGCATATTTTCTCCCATTCTGCATTGTCAAAAGTATTGCCTAGTGCCGCCTCCCACTTCCCCATGAATCGTGGTTGTTCTTTTGGTGTGAGTGTTAGTAATAGGGTGTATAGAACGGACACTCCATGTGCTAGTGGGTTGGGGTCCAGGCATAGATTCTCGAAGGAGGTAGTAGCCTGTTGTAGTATTGGTCCTTGTGGGAGTGAGGTGATATAGCTCCGGATCTGTTTGTATTTTAGGTGCATCAGGAGGGTGTGTTCTGTGTCCCCCCTCAGGTCCTTGAGTGTCTTAATGCCCTCTGTTGTGTGGATGTGTCTAAGTCTGGGTAATGGGTCCTGGATTAGGTCTTTAAACGCTTTCGGGTCTAGTCCCAGTGGAAAGTCAGGGTTATGGATCAGTGGTAATAGGGGGGTTGGGTATGAGGTTAGGCCGTGTCTCCCTTTTGTGCAGTTCCACTTTCGTAAGGTCGCTCTCGTGTAGGGGGATTGTTTCGTATCGCCTTTCTGAGCCTCGGGTGGTAGCCTCATGTTCCTCTGCCTGTTTCCACTGTTTGTGTTCCTGGTTTAGTCCATTCCATTATCCGCATGAAATGGCAGGCCCTATAGTAGAGGGTGAAATCCGGCAATGCCAGTCCGCCCCTGTCTTTTGGTTGTGTTAATAATGTGTGGCGTAGCCTGGGCTTTTTCCCGTTCCAGACGTATTGTTAATGTTGAGTATGAATGATTTAGCAAGGTCAATTTTTAGGTTGGAGAGTCTACCGAAATCCTGAAATGCTTTCAGTATGTTGGGGAGGGATATTTCTGGGTTAGTTATATAAAACAGTAAGTCATCGGCATACGCCGTGATTTTGTGGTGGATCGTCCCTATCTACATCCCTGAAATGTCTGGGTTGTTTCTAAAGGCCACTAGCAGGGGCTCTAGGGCAAGGACAAAGAGGTTCGGGGACAGGGGGCATCCCTGGCGTGTGCCGTCTTGTATGTCGAATGGTTCCGACAAGGCGCCGTTTATGACCACCTGAGCAGAGGGTTGCTTATATAATGCTTCAATCCACCCTCGAATTCCCGGGCCCAGACCAATGTGCGCTAGGGTCTGGAATAGTCAAAGGCCTCCGCGTCCGTGGATAGCAGGAGAAGGCCTCCCGGAGTACGCCTACCGCTGTGCATCAGTGTGAGGCTGCGCATGTTGTCTTCTCATGCTTCTCGTCCCAGCACGAACCCCACCTGGTCAGGATGCACCAGAATGGGCACATGTGCCTGTAGTCTAGTTGCCAATATTTTGGCTAGTAATTTGAGGTCACAGTTTATGAGCGAGATTGGGCGATAATTTCCACACTGTTCCCCGTCTTTTCCTTCTTTGGGGAATATTGTAATGTGCACTGCCTGTGATTGCTTGGGGAAGTGGTGACCTCCTTTGATGGCATTTAATGTTATTAGTGGGGTGTATAGGATGTCTGCGTATGCCTTATAGTAGCAGAGCGGCAGGCCGTCCGGGCCCAGGCTTCTGCCTGGTTTTGTCTGTTTCACTGCTGCAGCTAATTCCTCATGTCTCCCTGTCCAGGAGCTCCATGATGTCTCTGTCTAGTGTGGGTGTCGAGTGCGAGCTCAGGTAATCTTTTATTGAGTCTGTTAGGTGTTTGTCCGCCCGGTGCGTCTGTGGCCTTCGGAGTGTATATAAATTTGCGTAGTATTCTCTGATTACTTCCTGTATCTTTAGGGGCAGTCTGTGTAGTGTGTTCGTGCTATCCCTGATGCGATCAATGTATGTCTGTTGCCGGCGTTTGGCTAGCATTCGTGCCAGTAACCTGCCGCTCTTGTTGCCGTGTAGTGCAAAGAATGCTTTATGTCGCAGCGCGTCCCTGTGGTACCTCGTATGGAGCAGTTTAGTGAGATCTCTGCGTAATGTGAGCAGTTGTCTCTGCGTTTCCGGTGTCTATCTCCTGTATTTTCCTCAGAGTGTTGGTCATGGCCGCCCCCCTTTGTGTATGGCACTCTTTTGCAGGAAATGGCCCCTGACCATACTCTTGTGTGCCTCCCACATGATCGTTGGGGATGTGTGGGCTGGTGTGTTCATGGCAAAGTATTCTCGGAGGATTGTTCCGATTTCTGTTTTTACCTCTGCTACAGAGAGTAAGTGTTCGTTAAGCCGCCACTTGGCCACTTTAGGTCTGTATAGTGGGGACGCTATGGTGAGTGTCACGGGGGCGTGGTCTGACCATGTTGCTGTGCCCTGTTCTACCTGTAGGACAAGAGGGAGATGATAGTGTGTTAAGAAGTAGTAGTCAATTCTGGTATACGAATTGTGGGGGTGGGAAAAGAACGTATAGTCCCTCTCGTCTGGGTGGTGTGCTCTGCAGCTGTCCACTAGTTTATGTTTGGATATGAGGTTTTTGAGTGCGGTCAAGTGTGGCGCTGGGATGTGGGAGGTGCCTGTGGATGTATCCCATTTCAGGTCTAGTGCTAGGTTAAGGGCTCCTCCCACCACCAGGATACCCTACGCAAATTCCCGCACCTTGCGGAGGATTACCAAGAGGAATCTGTGGTGTCTCTGATTAGGGGCATAGATATTGGCGAAAGTGTAAATCTGCCCTGCTATCGTTCCTTTTATGAGTACATATCTGCCCTCCTGGTCTGTCTGTAATCCCTGCTCTTGGAAAGGGATTCCCTTATGTATTAGGATCGCCGTTCCCTGTGCCTTGCCCCCTGGTAGTCGCTATAGTAACCTGTGGGGTATTGGTGATTATGCAGCTTTGATCTCGCCCCTTCCTTAAAGTGTGTCTCTTGAATGTATACTATAGAGGCTCTAGCAGCGTGGAATTCTTTTAGGGCTGTCGATCTCTTTTCGGGTTTGTTCAGTCCCCCTGCATTTATGATGACTACCGTGAGGTTAGCAGGTATCAGTGTCATGTTTAGCAAATCTCTGCTAGTCCTGGACCCGGGCTGCCACGAGTCAGAGGGGTAGGGGTTAGTTATTCTCAGAAGTACTTCTGAAGGTTATGTAGGGATGTGGTCTGGGGTGCCCGCCGCCAAGGCGGCGTTAAGGTATCAGCGTCTAGGTGGCCGTTTAGGACACCCTCGGGTCTTAGGTGTCACCCACCTAAAGTTGGCGCTTGTCCCTTGTGGGAGTGGAAGAAAGGACGAGGCCTCTAGTCGGGTCTAGTTGTATGTGGTTACTTCCGGGTGTGTCGCCCTGCGATTCCTTCCCCGATTGTACCTTGTGCCTCTAACAGTGTCCCGCGTCTTTCCCTGTGAGGCTCTATATGTGGATGTGTGTTTGGTGTGCGTCCTCACCTCGGACGTGTGATGCATCTTTACATCGACTGAAACGTAACTGTTACAACATTATGTTTAACATGAAACAGAACTTCATCCAAAACAGATTTTTACCTTTGCATTATACCTTGTTAGCCATGTTGCCAACCCCTAGAGTGCTATATTGTAGTTAGAGATGCATCTGTATGTGCATTGACCTGCGTGTTGCTTGGCTCCCAGTTCCTCGCCCCCTAGGTTCCCTGTCCCGTGTGTATGCTTGGAGTCCCTCCCCTCCTTCCTTCCCCCCTGTTCTCTTATGAACGTGTTTTATGCTTGACAGTCTCTCCAACATCCCTACCACTGCACTCTGCCCATGTGTTGTTGGTGTCTCTTCCCCTCCCCTACTTCCGTATGAGCGTCTGCCAGTAGGCACTATGTCGTATGTGTGTTAGTTTCTGAGTATCTTCTGATATGTTTGTCTCACATCTTACGGTTACACAGTAGCTATGCCCTTTCCTCTGCCCCCTTCTAGATGTCTGAGCGAGGTGGACCCCCGCTCCCCATCCTGTTCCTGGGTAGGTCATCACTAGGCTATTGTGGGGAGTGCGGTTGTCTGCGTCGGTCGTCTTCCATCCTTATGTCCCCCTCTCCAATTGTTGCCATGTTCATTACAATAAGCATCATCCTGTCAACTCTCCCATCCCCTCCCGCCTCCCTCCATTACTGTTACTTGATGAGTAATCGTCCTTTTAGTTGGGCTGTAGTTTGTTTAGTCTCTCTGACCTGTCGGTCAGCCGTGTACGGTACTTGCATTTACTCTGGAGTTGAAGAAGTCTTTGTTTTCCTGGGACAGAAGCCAGGTGCTGAATGGGTCCGTAGTTCTGGGGCCTCTGGTTTGCGTCTGCGGATGGGTTGCTGGTCAGTTGAGATGTATCTTTGTTATTCCTTTTCCTGGAGAGAACTGTCCCCTTGTATTCCGCTGTGCCCAGAGGGTCCGATCAGTAATTCTGTGTGTTGTGCTGTGGTGCATGGGTCAGGCGTCTGGCAGTGTCTGCGTCCAGTGTTGAGTTGGTTGGGCAGGGGGAGGGTCCCCAGTGGGCGAGGTAGGTGTCTCGTTAAGGCCTGGCTAGTCCTATGTTAGTCCCTACCTCATCTCAGAGGCCCCGTGGGCCGATCGCTTGTTGGCGGGAGGTCCTTGGGATCTGGGTGCCTGCAGTCTGGGTCTTCGGGCCCTGAATGGGTGTATAGAGGGCTAGAGGATCCAGCCATTGCAGTGGGGCCGGGGTGATCTGCAGCTCCCTCCCGAGAGCATCCATGTCGGCCTCTTCCTTTACCATGTAGGGGCCTCGTGGTGTGTGGACCTGCAGTCCGTTCGGGAAGCACCATCGGTATTTAATTCTGTTCGCTTGCAGTTGTCTGGTGAATGGGCGCAGGGCCCGGCGATACGCCAGGGTCGTGGGAGATAGATCCGGGTACAGTTGGATCTTAGTGGCTCCCAGTAGGGCCTTGCCCGCGTCTCTTGCTCTCCTCAGTGTCTCTTCCTTCAATTGAAAATTTGCAAAGCAACATATTGCATCTCTGGGTTGACTTCCTGGGGGACCCTTTGGTCTGAGTGTCCGGTGTGTTCTCACCAATTCCATTGGTTCTTGCGGTGTGTGTGTGGCCCAGCAATTTGTTGAATACCTCCGTTAGGGTGGACTGTAGTGGAGTGGTGTCGTCCACCTCCTCTGGGATCCCTCGGACCCTAATATTCTGTCTCCTCCCCTGGTTATCTAGGTCCTCTAGGTGGTATGCCATCTGTTGGGCGTTACGCTGCAGGGTCCCTGTGTTGGCGGACTGCGCCGCTTGCATGTGGTCGCTGTCCGCCTCGAGCTGGGAGACCCTCTGGCTTAGGCCGCAGAGTTCCTCCCGCATTGGCCTGTATTTCTTCAGTGATGGAGGCTGTTATTAGCTTCCATCAGGTCCACTTTAGTAGGCAGGCTGCGGAGGATGTGCATTAGTTCCGGGTGTGTTTCAGCGGGGTAGAGTGTAGGTGTCTTGGCTAGTGCTTCCTCGCCACATAGGGAGGGCGAGATCACCCTGCCCGAGGCCGTTGAGTCGTTGGAGGCCTGTGCATCCCGGTCCGCCGGGGTCGTCAGGAATCGCCGCATGGATGGATTTGTGTTCCCACTTGGGGTGTCCGTGGGCTTCGAAGTGTGTGATGCTCTTTGTGACTTGCCCATTTTCTGGCCAATTAGGTGCTTTAGGCGAGGTTGTACTTAGAGCCTTGCAGGGAGCTCAGGCTTCACGCCGCCATCTTCCTCGGCTTCCAAGCCACGCCTCCTCTAGGCAGGTTGTTTTAATGTTGTGGCTCATCAGTGCTCACCTAATTAATCTTTCTGCATATGTCCACAATAGGTGACCCTAAAGTTCCAGTATTGTACCAAGTGGAAAGGACTCGTGATGGCCGCAGTTTCAGTGTGCGTTCTGTGAAGGCTGTTCAACATGGTGTGCCAATCCTGACATGCCAGGCTTCATTCCACCGTTCCCAGGAGAGTCCACTCACGCATCAGTTCACAATGCCCACGGTGCCCCCACCAGAGGAACTGCTTACTAGAGAGCAGCTAATACAAAAGTACTTACGGTAATTACAGTTAATTACAGCAACTTATTTTGAGAGAAGAATTGCGATTCCTGGATAAGTATGGTATAGCCAGTGGAAATTCTAGAAGGAACAGAACTGCTATTTTAAATTTGTTGTGCAGATATTTTTTTTATAAAATGAAGCATACTTGTGTGACCTGACCTGGTTGTGATGTCCTCTGCCTATCCTCTAATAGGGATCCCTCTCTGGTGGAAAAGCACAGAATGGGCTTAAACAAGATCCTGGCACAAGAGGTTCCAATCCTGATTAAACCTATTAACCCTCCAGATATGTTCCATCGTTTACCACAGGAACCACGCCAAATGTTCTGGGTACGAGCTAAGGGATTGATTGGTAAGTTGAGAATTTAAAACTCTGGTTACAGCATTTGAAAAAAGTATAACAGCCTAGAGTAGTTTTACCTTTGCCAATATCAGATGTTCCAGGGTCACTATTCCAACTGGACCTGGGAGTGGGTGGGGAGGCGTGCAAAACTGTTAAAAGGGACACTATAGTCACCAGAACAATTACAGCTTATTGCATTTGTTCTGGTAAGTAGAATCATTCTGTTCAGGTTTTTGCTGTAAACACTTTCTTTTCAGAGACATTACAGCCTAGTGATAACTCCACTGGCCATTCATTTAGATTGCTGTTAGAGGTGCTTACTGGGGCAGTGCTGCACAGTGAGCAGCACTGTCATTCAGTGTGTCCACCCTCAGCATGCAGACACTGAACTTTCCTCATAGAGATGCATTGATTCAAATTATCTCTGAGGAGATGCTGATTGGCCAGGGCTGTGTTTGACTTGTGCTGGCTCTGCCCTTGATCTGCCTCCTTGACAGTCTCAGACAATCCTATGGAGAAGCATTGGAACTGACTCGGACCACCACTTCTGATGATGGTAGCTGGCAGGTCAGAGGCAGACAGGGGCAGAGCCAGCAGCTGCAGATTTGAATACAAGTAAGATTTGACTATATTTAGGGAGGCAAGGTGGGGCTAGATGGTGTTTTTACACTATAGGGTCAGAAATACATGTTTGTGTTCCTGACCCTATAGTGTTCCTTAAATATACTCCAAATTCGGTAATATATAAAATGAGAAATAATCAGAGGAAGCATGTGGTCTCCTGCAGTTGCAAACAACATTAAGTGCTCCCTTGCGATCCTGCAGCTCAGATAATTATTCAGAGCACCGCTGTTGAGTTATCATAACAATGCTATAAATCATTTAATGAGGACTGGATTGGAAGAGCATTTACCAGAGATGCAGACCACATGTTTCTCAACTAGACCACCAACAAACTGTCATCAGCACCACAGGGAACTATTCTCTATCTTTGCTGGAAGTGGCTGAAAAAAAAACAAATCCAAAACTGTATAATTATAATACACACAACACACTCTGCCATCCCACAAGACACAGCCACTTTTGCTGTGGGGATCTGTGAAACCCATGTACTCTGTGGATTTTATTGTGTTACAGTGATGCTCTCTGCACAGTACTGCGAGTTGCATTGCTAAGGAGCTCTGTGATACATTCATACACAACATTCACATACTGCATATTACTGTGGAGTTGTTTTATTATGGAGGTCTGCGACTCTGCAAATAACTAGTGTCACAGGGCTCTATAGCAGTAACATGCACAAACTCTATATTATTCTGAATTGTATTGCTGTGGAGTTCTGTGATACATTCATACATTATACATTATTGTGAGTTGTATTGCTGAGGGTGGGGTGCAAGGAGAAAGGGGCCCTTTTTCATTTCCTGCAACAGGGCAATGCAATTTCTTACTAACCACACTGAATTTAATTTCAACTACTCCTGAGAATACAGCACCAGTCCACGCACCTTCCCTCCACCTCACTGATATCCAGTGAAACAATATCCCTGTGTGGCAGTGTACACCCGCAGATGCTGTTGAGTCATCTTAGTGGAAATTTCTGCAGACTGTATTGGTGTAAATATTCACATGACACAGACAACATCTAATGAAAATATGATGGACTACATACACGCACATGTTAGAATACTCAAGCACATGTGCAGTGCACCTCCTATTCATCTATGTGGGAACAAGAGGATAGGCTGGAAGCTCTGAGCTTTATATGAAGCGCCCTGATAGGCTTTTCAAAATTGGTGGTCGCAATGGATTTACTGTACAAGACAGGCAAAGTGAATGGAGAACTGCTTGTACATCAAAAATTAGACTGACACTATAGTCACCTAAACAACTTTAGCGTAATGAAGCAGTTTTAGTGTATAGATCATGCCTCTCAGGTTTCACAGCTCAATTCAATGCCTTTTAGGAGTTAAATCACATTGTTTCTGTTTATGCAGTCCTTGTCACACCTCCCCTGGCTCTGACTGACAAAGCCTGCCTAAACAAAAATGGTTTCACTTTCAATCAGATGTAATTTACCTTAAATATTTTTATCTCTTGCTCTCTAAATTGAACTTTAATAACATACAAGATGCTCTTGCAGGATCTAGCAAGCTATTAACATAGCAGGGGATAAGAGAATCTAAATTAAACAGAACTTGCAATAAAGGAAGGATAAACATTAGATGACTCTTTACATGAAGTGTTTATGAAGGCTGTGTAAGTCTCATGCAGGAAGGTGTGACTAGGTTTCATAAACAAAGGGATTTAACTCCTAAATGGCAGAGAAATGAGCAGTGGGACTCCAGGGGCATGATCTATACACCAAAACGTTTTCATTAAGCCAGGGGTGGGCAATCTGCGGCCCTCCAGATGTTTTGGGCTACATCTCCCTTAATACTTTGCTAGTATTATGGCCCTAAGAGCATTATGGGAGATATAGTCCAAAACATCTGGAGGGTCGTAGATTGCCCACCCCTGCATTAAGCTAAAGTTGTTTTGGTGACTATAGTGTCCCTTTAAACTTTTTGTTCCCCTAGTCAGACACTCTCCAGTTTTCTGAGCACATGATTCAACGGAAATGTTATTTCCTCCCATAAATGAGCAACATTAATTTGCACATGTGCAGTACATCAGTGAATGTGTGCCATGCAGAGTGCTGGGGGTGTAGGCGCTGCATGGGTCCTGTAGTTAGTGTGCATCGGTATGCAGACACTCCTAGAAGCAGGAACAGATTAAGGGGATGGATTATTACACACTTTTCTATAAAGATCATACTCCTCTCCCCATTTAAATAGATTACAGTTGCGCAGAAACTGTCATAACAATGTTTAGTACATTTGGAAAATTATTTATTTACAGTGTCCCTTTAACAAGTCCAGGTTAAGTGCTATGTATGGTTTTATTCTTCCTTACAGAAAATATATTCTACTCCTATAGTTAAAATATATATATAGTTTTCTTAGTAAACAATATAACTATATACTGGTAACGGTAATGATCCCTTTCTTTTCCTTCCAATCCTTCGTGTTTTCAGGCCCAGGTGACATGAGGTTGCACTGCTGTGTAGCTGCCTATATTTCGGACTATTCCTTCCTGGGTACCGCTCTGCTTCCTCACCTGAAGCTCCGCATGCGTTTTATGGCATCACTTGATCATTCCATGTGGTTTCATGCGCCATTCAGGGCTGACGAATGGATGCTCTATGAGTGTGAAAGCCACTGGGCTGGTAAGTGGAGAGCATGATGGGAGGGAAGTTCACTTTATAAACGGTGAGATCCAGAATGTGATTATTTTCAAAAGGTCATTATAGATCCTGTGAAAGGATGGAGAGAAAGGCAAGTATAGGCAAGCACTTCTGGTGGAGTGGATTCTCACATGTCTAAACTATGATACTGTTGTATGGAAAATAGTAGTTTTTCTTTTTAAATCCGTGTCACCAATAAAGAATTGTTTCCTGCTGCACAGGGAACTGCCGTGGGCTGGTACATGGTCGTTTATGGCGAAGGGATGGTGTTCTGGCTGTGACATGTGCACAGGAAGGTGTGTTCCGTGTGAGGCAAAATGAACCCAGCAGCAAGTTGTGATCGGAAGTGGCATTAATCTACCAACAAAATCTCAGCAACCAGAATCATTAAATTATTACTTCAGATCTGAAATTCCATCATTACCTAAATAAGCCCTGTGGAATGTGTTCTCCAAGAGCCAATACCTCTATTTGTAAATAATTAGAATATTAACTAATTAATAAATTTTATTTTCAGTTGATCAGGTGATGCAGACATTTTGTTTTTCTCTTGAGTTTGTCAATATCACTACATCAAGAAAGAGGTTACAAACCTAAAAAGTGCACTATAAAGGACTTTCCTTGGATTCATGACTTGGTTGAGCAACCAGAACCGGTTGACTTATAAACTGGGTATCCCAAAAAAACATCCTTGTTCTCACAACCCCAGGTTTGTTGTAGCACCATTGTATTTATTTTTTTCCCTTTAAAGAAAATCCAAAGAAGATAGCTGGCAGAAGATCTCCCCAAAATGGTAGAGTATTGCATTCCAGAAATCCCTCATATTCCCTTAAACACTCAGATTTACAGTCTCTCGAACGAGAACTTCTTTCAGACTGGGAACATTTTGTGTAGTATGCCCAGCCTCTTGTAACTTTTGTAAGGCAGCCTCTGAATCTCTCTTGTCTTTTCCAGCTCTCCATGACAGCTGAATATGAGCATTTAGAAAAGGCATTAGCCAAGGGCAGTTAGGGTCCATTACCTCCTTCAAAAGTCCTACTGCTTGTTCACTGTACATTTGCGCTTCTACTAAAGTGTCCATCTCTTGGTGACAAACTACCAGTCCTGCCAACACAAGCAGCCGGTGAGTACTGGGCTCTAGTGGACAAAGCTTGTCTTGAAGGCGCCAAATATTTGTCCAAAGTGGAAGTGCTATATTATACAGTCCTGTGCGAGTGAGTTGTTGAGCTTTCTGGGTTTCTTTCAAATAAAAGAACCCCACGAAATGAGGGGACCAGCGCAGAGAAGGCATTGATGACACATGGCACAAGAACTGTTCAAAGGCACGACTGCGTTTGGCAATGGTTTCTGATGTAAAGTTCCTGTGCAGACGCTTACGTGGAAAAGACACTTCACTCATTTCATCTGGGTAGAGAGTGCGCAGGCGACGTTTTAACCGTTCCAGATCAGAGTAGCGGCAAGAGATATAGGCAGGAGAAGGGTCGAATTTTCCAGATTGTAGAACAAAGATGGTGTACACCTAGAAAGAGAAAAGCACCGATTTTTAGTACGGGGAATAGTTTTTACATTTTCAAAGGAAATTTTAGGAAACTGAGGTATTCCTACCTAGGTGTTAGATTGGTAAACCGGCGGTTCTCAACCCCCGACTCAGGGCACATAACTGGGATGCTTGTCATTTTAGTGGGTATACAGGTTATTTATATTCCATACTCCTGTGCTAGCAGAATAAAAAGCAATTCTACACAGCAATAGATTTATTTTTCATTCACTGTGTCAACCAG